CGACGGTAGCGGGGATCTCTGGGAAGTGCGCGCTAGACAAGGTCGCGCAGACCCATAATGGTCATTTCATGTTCATGGACATGTGATCGCATTAGCCAATCAGCAGCCAGCCAGCCAGCACTGTGTAATGGTGGAGCTATAAAATTGCGGCCATCTTACACATTCTCCATTAGCCTCCGGTCATTTCAAGAGAGACAGCGACCTGTCTGTATTTGGATCAGAGTTAGGGCCCAGAGAGACTTCTAGGGCAACAGAATCGTACTTAGGGGGACACAGTAATTCGTTACTCAGGGACCACAGATTTGTTACTCAGGGGACACAGGAATTGTTACTCTGGGCAGACACAGAATTGGTTACTGAGGGACACAGAATTGTTACTGAGGGACACAGAATTGTTACTCAGGGACAACAGAATTGTTACTCAAGGGACAGACACAGAATTTGTTACTGAGGGACACCCAGAGTTGTTACTGGAGGGACACAGAATTGTTACTGAGGGACACAGAATTGTTACTCAGGGCACAGAATTGTTACTCTGGGTTCTGACCAGGAATTGTTACTGAGGGACACAGAATTGTTAATGTGGGACACGTATTGTTATCAGGGACAGAACAGAATGTTACTGAGGGACCACAGAATTGTTATGAGGGACACAGAATTGTACTCAGGGACACAGAATTGTTACTCAGGGGACACAGGGAAGTGTTACTCAGGGACAGACACAGATATCGTTACATCAGCCGGGACTGACAAAGTATTGTTACTCAGGGACATCTGAATCGTTACTCAGGGACACAGAATCGTTACTCGGGGACACAGAAATTGTTACTCAGGCGAACAAGGACTCAGAATTGTTACTCAGGGATCACAGAATTGTTACTCAGGGACAGACACTGAATTGTTACTGAGGGACACAGAATTGTTAATACTTTGAGGGACCTGTCACAGAATCTGTTACTTGAGGGACACAGAATTACGTTACTCAGGGAACAAAGAATTGTTACTCAGGGACACAGAATTGTTACTCAGGGGACACTGGAATTCGTTTACTAAGGGATACAAGAATCGTTACTCAGGGGACACAGACATTGTTATCTCGAGGGACAGACACAGAATTGTTTACTCAGGGGGACACCATGAATCGTTAGTCAGGGGACACCAGAATCGTTTGTACTCAGAGGACACAGAATCGTTACCTCAGGGACACAGAATCGTTTACTCAGGACGAAACGAGATTGGTACTTTCTGCACAGACCGTATACTGTACGGTCAAAGAGTTGTTAATCAGGGACACTGAATTTTGTTACTCAGGGACACAAGAATCGTTGAATTTATTGAGTATGTCTGACAACACGCAGAGGGAGTTGGCAGCAGGAGGCAATGTTTTCAGGTGGAGCAGGGTGAGCCAGAGTCTCGCAGTGCAGTCCGGAAGGGTCGTAGACGGCAAGCAATAGTCGACAGCCAGAGGCCAGTGGCTCCCGGTGTCTTTCCAGTCGGTCGTGTCTCCACCAGAAACCCTGCCGTCATTCGATTGGTTGGCTCGGTCGTCCTATTCCTCTTCCAGGTCACCTCTGACACCTACAGCCAACGGTCGGTGGGTACGTCAGACACAACCGTTAGTTGGCATGGCCGGGAGCAAAGCCCACTGAAATTCACGTGTCCTTACCTGCCCCTGTCCTTTGGTGTTCCTCACTCACCAAGCGAAGTACAGTATCGCATGTGTGGGCTCAGCCCCACTGTACAGTGAGGAAGAGCAACAGAGGGCGGTCAGGAACGGGGGGGGGAGACATCCGCCTCTTCAGCAGCCAGAGGCGAAAGAAGTACTAGGGCGAGTGAGAGTGGCTCGGTAGCAGGTCTAGAGACAGGTCTGTCTCCTGACCCACACGCAGCCGAGGGGGGCTAGTAGTGAGGCGGAGACCCTAATTGATGATGATGAGGCTGATCGCACTTGGCAGCCTCGTCGTCATTCAGGCTATTGCTTCCCTGCATCATCAGGAGAAGAGGGTGGCAGCTTGGCAGCGAGCAAAAACAGTCGGTGGGTTGCCAGGAGGCAGCAGGGGTCGCAGCAGTGTCAGTGGAGGCAAACGGCCCGACGGAGTAGTGAGCACCAGCTCCACTGCAGCTACCACCACGGCCAGTAGTGGTGCCGGTCGTGTGCACGGAGGAAGTAGCAGTCAGCCAGTGAGGAGTAGCGGGGGCAAAGTTTTCCTACGCGGCCGGTGTGACTCGGCGGTGTGGCAATTTTTTCGTCAAGCCGCCCGAAGGAAGTAAACGTAGCCGTATATGTGACTATGTGGCCAGAAAGTCAAGCGTGGCCAGGGGGCCCCATGTTGGGACTACAGCGTTGCGTCAGCATATGCAGCGTCGCCATTTGGTGGCCTGGGGGAAAACCCGTGATAAAGATACGGCGGTTCTGCCTGCCCCAGCCCCCGCTCCATCACCCGCTCCGTTACTTGCTCCGTCACCCGGACGTCAATCGCCCTCTATCAGCCAGTCAAGGCTCCAACACCTATGCTGAGGGGAGTTGTCGCTCGTTGGCATCTTCCGCTCGTTCAGAATGCTCCTTCTCCTGCTAACTCCTCTTCACGGATTCCGTCAGCAGTCTTTCTTGGAATCCGTTTCCAAGAGACAACAGTTTGCGAGCACGCACCCGACGGTGCAAAAGCTGAACGTCCTCCTGTCCAAGTTGCTGGTGCTGCAGTCCTCCCTTTCCAAGTGGTGGACTCAGCACCTTTCCGAGAAATGATGGCTTGTGCCGCGCCGCGGTGGAGAGTGCCAAGCCGTCATTTCTTCGCCAAAAAGGCAGTGCCAGCCCTGCATTCACATGTAGAAGAGATGGTGGGCCAGTCTTTGAGCATGTCGGTCTCTGCCAAAAGTGCACGGCAGCGCCGACGTGTGGAGCTGTAACTACGGTCAGGGACAGTACATGTCATTTACGGGCCACTGGGTGAACGTGGTGCCAGGACACAGCCGCACCAGCAACTTGGACAGGTCACGCCGCTTTTGCCTCCACGTTTGCACGTCCTTGGTCCAGCAAAGATGTCCGCCTCTACCACCTCTTCTTCCCTCCGTGTCCTCAGCCGCCACCCCCGTGCCAAGTCCCATTACCCGACCGGCATATCACATGTGCAGGGCGCAACGGTGTCACGCTGTGCTGCACCTGGTATGCCTTGGCGAACGTAGTCCACACAGGGGAGGAACTTCTGAGTGTAATGAACAGAGAAACTCGCGGACAGATGGCTGTCTCCGCGCAAACTGAAAATCGGAACCATGTTGACCGACAACGGAAAGAACATTGGTGTCTGCTCTGCGTCAAGGATGGTTGTGCATGCGCCATGCATGGCTCACGTGTTCAAGTCTGGTTGTCAAGCGGGTTCCTAAAATCCACCATCCCACTGCAAGACATCTATAAAATGTCACGTAAACTTTGCATGCATTTCAGCCATTCCTACACCGCAAAGCACACCCTCCTTGAGCTGCAGCGGCAGAACGGAATTCCAACAGCATCGCCTGATCTGCGACGTTGCATATAACAGGTGGAATTCAACCCTACACATGTTAGACCGCCTTTACGAACAGCTCTGAAAAGGCCATTCACTTGCGGATTTTCCTGATGTTACAAGGGATAAAGGTACTGGGCCATGTGTAACTTCGATGTCAGCCATTGGCAGCTCATGCGTCTGATGACATGCCGCTTGCTCAGGCGCTGTGGGAGGAGTCAGACTACTATTCGTGAGTCGGCAGACTATGGGATGGAACGACGTCAAAAAGGCTTCCTACTGGACTGCACGTCCTGAGACAAATGCTGGTAACAATGGCTGGTCAGGGTAAACGGTAGAACGTGGCCGGCAAAGATTTTGCAACGCCACATGACCCCCTGTGGGGGCAGGACAGGAAGAAGTGCGAGGAGGTATTGAGGAGGACATTGGTGATCAGGGAATTATTGAGTGAAATTGGGGTTGGTTTTTTCCACTCAGCGGACAGGATGGTCTGGAGCAGGAGGCATCTGTTAGAGGAAGGAGAGGAGGAATCAGAGGACCCCAGACTCACAGTGGCAGTTAGGCTGTGGAGATGGAGGCAGGGGAGTTCCCCCTCGCTTTGTCCTTGGCTTGCAAATGGCCTCCATAGCATGCTGCGGTTGCTTGCGTAATCGACAGCCGAATAATACCATCAGACAGCAGGGGATGACTTTTGGCTGTCCACCTTGTAATGGACCTCGATACCGTTCAAAAAATGGTGTGCCTTTTTCCACACCTGCTAAGTGGGAGGCAAAAATAACTGGTAATATTAAAAACCACCTATGTAGTCGGGAGTTGGTCCCTCCTATGCCTCTTAGGGTGCGCCAAGCGTCCAGGACTCAGACACTGTGGGCCCTGTGCTGCTTGCGTTCCACTTTGCCATGGCAGCAGGGAGGGGTGGCTGGTGGTAGGTCCAAGTGGTACGGCTCCACCAGCAGCGCTGCTGCCTCATATTCCTGCACAGTCAGATGATGAGTAGCTTTCTTCAACCAGCGCAGTGAGGAAAACTACTAACCAGACGCAAGCAGCATGTACGCAGCATCCTAGGTGGACCTGGTGCAGGCCCTAAAACAACAGGCTTGGGCCTACTTGGACAAGCCTCCCTGCCAACCGAGGTAGACAATCCCCTTGACTTAGCTGGGGCAACAAAACTTGACTTTGTCCCGCAACTAGCTGAATTGCCACCCTTGAAAGGCTTGTCATGCCCGGCCAGTAGCGTGGCATCGGAATTTTTTGCGCGTGTGTTGTGCGGCAGGAGGTATTGTAACTCCGCGGAGGACACGACTGTCCACCCAAAGTGTGGAGAGACTCACGTTTGTGAAAATGAATCAGGCGTGGATTAGTCTGGATTTCAAACACCAGTTCCTGACACAAAATGACTAAATCCGCCATGAATCATGCCCACTTGCATGTGCCACTTTCAGGTCTCCTCACACTGCTGGTGTGTTGAATTTTTTGTCATAGGGTGCTGGCAGATTACGGGCCTCCTAATAGCTGCTGCCCAGGCCCCTAATTTGCCATGGGCCCCTATACCCCGCTCCTCCATGCTGCTGCCAAGGTCCAAGTCTCCTCTATGGGTCCCTGTTCGGACCTCCCATTGCTGCTGTCTCCATCGCCACACTCTGCCATATGTGCCACTTTCAGGTCTCTCACACACTGCTGGTGTGTTTCAATTTTTTGGTCATAGGGTGCTGGCAGATTACGGGCCTCCCATAGCGTGCTGCCAGGCCCTAATCTGCCATGGCCCACTATACCGCCTCCTCATGCTGCATGCCAAGACCAGAGTCTCTCATGGGTCCCTGTACGGGCCTTCCATTGCTGCTGTCTCTCCCCATCGCCACACTCTTGCCATGTGCCACTTTCAGGTCTCCTCACACACTGCTGGTGTGTTTGAATTTTTTGTCATAGGGTGCTGGCAATTACGGGCTCCTTATTGCTGCTGCCAGGCCCATAATCTGCCCATGGGCCCTATATACGCCTCCTCATGCTGCTGCCAAGTCCAGAGTCTCTCATGGTCCTGTACGGTCCTCCCATTGTGGCTGTCTCCATCGCCACAACTCCTGCCATGTGCCACTTTCAGGTCTCCTCACCACTGCTGGTGTGTTTCAATTTCTTTGGTCTTAGGGTGCTTGGCAGATTACAGGCCTTCCTATAGCTGCTACACAGGACCATAATCTGCCATGGGCCCCTTATTACCGCCTCGCTCATGCTGGCCTGCCAAGGTCCAGAGTCTCTTCTATTGTGTCCCTGTACCGGCCTTCCCATTGATGATGTCTCCATCGCCACACACTCTGCCATGTCCCACTTTTGGGTCTCCTCTCACACTGCTGGTGTGTTCAATTTTTTGTCATAGGGTGCTGTCAGATTAACGGGCCTCCCTATAGCTGCTGCCAGGCCCCTAAATTCTGCATGGGCCCCTGTACCGCCTCCTCATGCTGCTGCCTGCAGCGTCCACAGTGTCTCATGCCATGTGCCACTTTCAGTCTCCTCACACTGCTGGTGTGTTCCATTTTTTTTGTCATAGGGTGCTGCAGATTACGGGCTCCTATAGCTGCTGCCAGGCCCCTAATCTGCCATGGGCCCCTATACCGCCTCCTCATGCTGCTGCCAAGTCTAGAGTTTAATCATGGTCCTGTACGGCCTCCCATTGTGCTTGCTGTCTCCATCGCCACACTCTGCCATGTCCACTTTCAGGTCTCCTCACACACATGCTGGTGTGTTCCATTTTTTGACATAGGGTGATGCAGATTACGGGCCTCCCATTGCTGATGCCAGGCCCCTAATCTGCCATGGGGCCCCTTATACCGCCCTCCTCATGCTGCTGCCAGGTCCAGAGTCTCTCAAAGCGGGGCCCCTGTTGTCGGCCTCCCATGGGCTGCATGTCTCCATCGCCACACTCTTCACATGTGCTACTTTCCAGGGATCACCTCAGCAGTCTGCTGGTGTGTTCCATTTTTTTGTCATAGGGTGCTGGCAGATTACGGGCCTCCCATAGCTGCTGCCAGGCCCCCTAATCTGCCCATGGGGCCCCCGTACCGACTCCTCATGCTGCTGCCAGGCCCGTAATCTGTCATGGGCCCCTGTTGTCGCTTGTTGGCATATTTCCGCTCGTTCAGATGCTCCTTCTCCTGCTACTCCTCTTCACGGATTCCGTCAGCAGTCTTTCTTGGAATCCGTTTCCAAGAGACAACAGTTTGCGAGCACGCACCCGACGGTGCAGAAGTCTGAACGTCTCCTGTCCCAAGTTGCTGCTGCCTGGCTCGTAATCTGTCATGCGGCCCCTGTACCGCCTCCTCATTGCTGCTGCCTAGGTCCAGAGTGTGTCATGGGCCCCGTACCGACTCCTCATGCTGCTGCCAGGCCCGTAATCTGTCATGGGCCCCTGTACCACCTCTCATGCTGCTGCCAGGTCCAGAGTGTGTCATGGGTCCCTGTACGGCCTCCATTGCTGCTGTGTCTCATCGCCACACCTCTGCCATGTGCCACTTTCAGGTCTCCTCACACTGCTGGTGGTTTCCATTTTGTTGTCATAGGGTGCTGTATGGCCTCCCATTGCTGCTGCCTCCACCGCCACATCTGTGGCTCCACACTCTGGTTTTGGCCCCGTGACTGCCCAAATGAGTGAAGTGTGCGGTGATTTCTAAGATCGACGGCACTCATCTGCATGTCATACTGACTGTCAGTAATTATTTCTCTTCCCAGCAGACTCCAAGGGCATTTAAAATTAAAGGTACAGTGTTCTGCACTAATTATAAAGGCTCTCTGAAGCCTAGAAACACCCCTTTTATAAGTTAAATTCGCAGCGAATATGAAAAAAAATATTCGACTCGAATCGAAAATTTTTCCACGAATTCGCCCGAATCAGTCGAATCGAATTTTTGAATACTTCGCTCATCTCTAATAACATACATCAGTGGATCATATAGTGAACGCGGTTGTAGTTTATTCCACCCTGAGGTCATCAGAGAGGACAAGGGGGCACTCTTTACGTCTGGAAGAAAATACATTTAATCTCCAAACACAGAAAGGTTTCTTCACAGTGAGAGCTTTGAAAATGTGGAATAGACTCCCTCAAGAGTTAGTTCTGGCCAGCTCAGTGGATTGCTTCAAAAAAGGCCTGGATTCTTTCCTAGATACACAGAATATAATCTGGATACTAACATTTTTACAGGTAAAGTTGATCCAGGGGAATATCCGATTGCCTCTTGGGGATCAGGAAGGAATTTTTTCTCCTGCAGGAGCAAATTGGATCATGATTTGCTGGGTTTTTCCTTCCCCTCTTGATCAACTGTGGGTGTAGGATTACAATTTATTTTTTTTATGGTTGAACTGGATGGACTTTTGCGTTTTTTCAGCCAGACTAACTATGTAACTATGTAATGTGGATGTAAGCTTTTCAAAATTACTGGTTTGTTTTTGAATTGCATGAAGAGCATGGAGCGACTAAAGGAAACCCATGCAAAGGTAGGAAATTATTATTATTATTAGTATACAGGATTTATATAGCGCCAATGTTTTGCACAACGCTTTACAATATAAAGGGAGACAGTACGATTACAATACATTTCAGTACAGAAGGAATAGAAGGGGCCGTGCTTGTGGGAGCTTGTGGAGCTAAAGGACAGGGGGGCCGGAGGTGATACAAAAGGTGATAGCTGCAGGGGATGATTTGATGGAGGTGGCTCATGTACAGTTCTTAGGTGGGGGTTCTGAAGGCTTTCCTGAATAAATTAGTTTTCAAAAGTCGCCTAAAGGGCAGACAGAGTGTGGGACTGACCAGACATTTACTGCGCGGTAGGGAGTTCCAGAGGATGGGAGAGGCTCTGGGGAAGTCCAGGAGGTGAGCGTGGGAGGAGATGAGGGAGATAGAGAGCAAGATGTCTTGGAAGGAGCGGAGCAGGCGATTTGGACGAAATTTGCGGATGAGGTTGGTGATGTAGCTAGGGCAGTGTTGTGGATGGCTTTGTATGTTGTGGTTAGTATTTGAATATAGGATATGTAATATGTACCTGTTAAAAAGAAGAACTATTTCAGATTCAATCTGACTATAAACCGTACAAACAGAAACACACTAATATATAACCCATAAAGAACTTCATGTTTCCAACAAACAGATCTCTTCAGGAGTCTATTGAATAGAACACAATGATTTGAATACCATGGTAGTCCAACTACAATTACCATTACAGTCAATTAAAGAAAGAGTCATTTTATGTCCATTCACATAGATTTATGTATTGTGCACTTTATGTTTTTTCTTTACTGAACAATATCATATCACAATTAACAGACCATGCAAGGTAAGTGGGATTACACTGATAAAGACATGGCAAAGGGTGCATTCATCTTCATGCTAGTAAATATTGTCCATCAGAAGTCAATACATAATGAACATTAGAATGAGGCTCAGCATTCTTCACTCATTTCACACAGGTTTTACACTTACCCCCTGTAAACCCCCAAAAAAACTTTCGTTTTTTCCCTGGCAAAACAGGAAAGGAGTCGGGGGGAAAAATTAAGGGTTGAGGGAAAATTTGCCAAA